TAATAAAGGACTTAATAGCACGATATTGGCAAGCATGGTGCAGGCGGACGGAGCAATAGTTAAGTGGGATGAAGCGAAGATCATAAGAACGGTGCACTCACCGTCTATAGCGATGGAAATGGAAAAAATAGAGATATACAAAAGTAAAATGAGGAACCGATGTTTAAATGAAAAGGATGCAAATACATTACCAACAGCATGGAAATACAAAATAGAAAAATGTATGGGTTTCAATAATCCATAAAATAGGAACTGGAGATTATAAGAAGTTATTATATTATGATTTAGACGCATGTAAAAATATGTTATTTAATTTTTGTAGCACGTATAGGGACATATTTTATTTTATTTTATTTTATTCATTTATTTTATTTATTTTGTTTATTTATGTAATATACAAAAAGTTGTTAACTTATTTCAAAAATTCAAATCAAAATAAAATTCGAACGAATGGTTCCATTTTGGAACGATAAAGGAAAACCTGAGGATGGCCTAACCAAATAGGCTGAAAACGTTTGAATAAGGAGAAAAAACTCGGCAAGTAGAATTCAGGTGTGTTTACATATTATAATTAACGTTGCTGAGAAGAAGAGAGATAGGATTAAAATCCGTTTAAAAGTTGTTTTGAAATTTTCAAATTGTAAATGAAATTATTTTTAAATTTACTTTATCTACGTTCGGCGATGACGGAACATTTTGCTTTCAATATATATTAAAAAATAATAATAAATATATACAGACAGATTTTTAAAATTGCGAGGTTTAGTCTTGTTAAATTTAATTAAATTCCATATTATCAAAATGTTTTAAATCTACCGTAATTGTTTTAAATTTTAAGCAGTTTTAATTTAGACAAGTTTAAATATACACGTTTTTAATTTGAAAACATTAAACATTTTTATCTTATAAATAATGGTGTCGTAGGGATCTAATTAAATTCAAAGTGTGTCGCTAATGCAAAAAAAAAGTTGGAAAACACTGATATATAATATAAACAATTAAAACCGTTCTCATAACAAAGTTTAACGAATCAAAGTCTATATAAATAGGCCTGGACACAAACGTTACCTTATTTGTGGAGCTTCCATTTTGGGTCTTTTTGAATAATACAGGTTTAAACAAACTTATACGAGCAGTTAGTTTTTTACGACATTAAATAACATACAGTAATTACAAAATTACATAAAGCCAGTGAGATGCCAGTCAAATAATAACTTCAGTTCAGATGATTATGCAATCGTAACTTTATGTAACTTGATCAAAATGGTTTAAAATAAAGAGCATCCTTATCATTTGCTGTCTTGATTGAAAGTAATCAAATTTGTGGCCGGATGACCGAGCGGTTAAAATGGAATCCTACCGCTCTGGGGGACACGGGATCGAATCCGGACGGGTCAAAAAATCCCCAGGAAATTTTCTGGGGTGGTCTGTCCGGATATGTCGGGCTCCGTCCCTCATCACCCGGCCGCCCCATTGTGGGCCAGGCCGAACCCATAATGGGCTTGCTAAAAGAGACTCCCTTACTTGTTAACTCTTTCCGTCCTGTGGGAGGAAAGAGTTAACAAGTAAGAAGAAAATAAAAAGAATAAACTAATCGAATTAGTAGTTGCATTAGTTTTATCACCTATGTAGGCATTTACTAAGGTGGTGCAATAATATCAAAGAAAAATCAAAGGAACTATATCTTTATATGTGACATTTATATCCTCGAAATCAGCCTGCAGCCTACTTCCAGGCGCTATACGGAGTCACGCTGTGCTCCACTAAGCCTGTCACATGTTTAACAGACAGTCCAGAACGGTGATCAGACAACTTAACGATATTTATAGGTAAAGAATAAAAAAAAAGTCCGACCCTTTGTCAGATATTCGCATCCAAATGTGGAAACCCAACGGCGGCAGTTTCGGTCGCCGTCGTGCTTGCGAACAAGTTAAATTATAGGCATGGCAATCAGTGCCTGTAACAAATAAACGCATTAACTTCTATTAACGAAAAAACAGTATTTACCTTGAACTAGTACTGCTGCCTATTTCCCATGTTCAGTGTCGATCAAGGCAAGCGATAGCAAGCCTCGACCGACGCTCCGCATATAGGCCTAGCTGTGCTCTTCTCTGCTCGCTGTTGCTCGCACCTCAGCGCCCGCGTGGAGGCTAGTCCATGCGAACGTTGAGTTATTATAACTACATCATCGTGTACTTCACAAACAGTCGAGTGGGCTACTCAAAGCCAGAATAGTCGCTTGGACTAAGGCAAGCGAGAACTTTAAGGACGACAACAGAACTGAGAAAAATATTAAAGTATTTAAGTGCAGGTTGTTTATTTACATATCACAAAAACAAAAAAAATATCAGTTTTTTTAAAATTGATGTCCTCTATATTGTTATATCATTTTGTCTATCATTTACATATTGTTCTATCAGAGACGGTATACGTAGTATATATAATTCAAATGCGGGGTGTACATACAGTATATTATTTATCTTTTCGGCTGTAAAAATATCAGTTTAATTGAATTGTAAATAGCAAACAGATTGACAGGACACTTTAAATGGCACATAAAAATTACGACAAGAGGTAAATAATCGTACATTGATTAATTATTAATTCATCAAAACTTGACACGGGCAGAGGAACGACACAGAAAAATGAAACTTGTTATGAACGGATGGGTGGACGAAGGTCGGTTTAGATAGAGTTCGAATGTCAAGTTACGAAGGCGATTTGCTAGCCGTTTCAAGGGGTGAGAAATGTGTTCGACATTCTTGCATTTATAATATAATTTATTATCTAAGCAACTACTGTAATACAAATCGATATAGTGATTTGTCTGCTTTGTAGTTACAAAGTAGGTGTAATTTTTGAACATTTTTGCTTTTTTTCAATAAATGATTTATAATAAAAAATACACCTACGCCACCACAGCTGTTAAGATCATAAATGCCAGAATATCAAAGCCTTTTCGCACTTTAAAGTAGCTGGCAAATTTCCTTCGTAACACAATCTTTGAACTTTCAGTATAATAGACGCTGTTATCGTAACTGTTTTAAATACGCCTGTTTAAACTTTGTCTATGAATATATTTTAAACCACATTCACTAATTCCATTTTATTTAACGTATAATGAATTCCTCGACGTTAACAGTATGATACACGATGATAAACGTGCTAGTTTTACAACCACGGCTGTGGAGTCGTGTAAAAATCTACCGACTCCGACTCCGACAGGGCCGGATTAACCCACTTTGGGGCCCTAGACATTTTCTTCTTACCGGGCCTCCTCGCTCACAAGAAATAGAGCACACAAAAAATATAAAAAAAACAAAACTAAATAATGTGAAAAACTAAAACAAATCTTAAATTTTTATTAATAAAAAATATTTAATACACAACAATAAATTTTAGTTTTTCTAGAAAAGTTTGAACAGTTTGTTTATAAATTTAAAAAATTGAAATTTATTTTATTAAATGTCTAACAAAAGTTGTTATACAAAATAAATATTACCTTAAAATATTAATTTTCAACAAGACTGTGTCTTGTTTATAAAATCGTACTGCCTGCTGTGTTACCAACTTAGAGGTATGAAAGAGTACATGTCAGGAGTTGCAATATGGCGCTGAGTATTAAGTGCTAAAATCATGCGTGCATAAAAAACCAGACTTGTAGGTAGCCTACTCAGAGGACCGAGAACCGAGTCAAAGTAAAATACAAAATGGCAACTCTCTCTACAAACAGGCAAACCGAAGTCAGGTGGTGAGAGTACCACTCACAGTCGTTCTAGGAACTGGGCTGTGACACTAGGACCAAACACGTAGTATTTTCTTTGTTGAATAAAATTTGTAATCTAATTTTGTAAATTTAGGAGTGCTTCAAATATGACATTAAAACAGGGTTTTATGTCGTTACAAGTAGGTTTTTTAACATTNCGTTCTAGGAACTGGACTGTGACCCTAGGACTGAACACGTAGTATTTTCTTTGTTGAATAAAATTTGTAATCTAATTTTGTAAATTTAGGAGTGCTTCAAATATGACATTAAAACAGGGTTTTATGTCGTTAGAAGTAAGTTTTTTAACATTATTTAGTATAGTAAAATCGTGAAACCGATAAAAATTTGACATTATACTAGGGTTGTCGTTACATCCGATGACGTTATAATCGGGTTAAACTGTATATTGTTTGTGCAAAATAAAAAAATAATTTTGGACGATACAATAGCCACGATTGTTTTTTTCAAAAACGGGAAATTCTCGTTAGGCATCGACAAAAATTCAACCCGGGCCGACGGGTTGCAACGGAGAGAAATTTCGAAATTGGATAGGTTAATTTCATCAAAAATGCATGGTGGACGATCTCGTGGTCGTGGCCGGCGAAGTTTGAACGATCGCGCCCAAAAGCAGCGATACCAAAGATTGGATAATGAGAACGAGACCCGTGTTGAGCGTGTCTCGAGTGATTCTGCTTAGTCTTGTCTCCAAGACATAGTCGTGTCCCAAATACGGTTTTGCCGTTTTACTTGTTTAATTTAACCTTTTTGGTTAATATTTAAATAATATCATATTTTATCAGTTTTACCAGTATTATACAGTTGTCCAACAGAAAAGTAAACTATCTTATTTACAAATCTTTTCAAAATAGACAGTTTGACCGGGCCCTAGACATTTGTCTCATTTGTCTATGCGATGATCCGGCCCTGGACTCCGACTTTGTCTTACCAATCGGACTCCAGCCAAGAGCGGACTTGTTACTAAAATAGACCCGGATATTCTGATGTCATCACGTGACCTCAGAATAAAAGATTCAATAAATAGAGTTTTAATAAAAATAGAACGTAGAAACGTTTTTATTCCAAAGCTAAAAGATTTCTCTAAGTAATGACACTGTCAATATTTAAATATGTATTCGATAACTTTTACTTTCCCGGCTGTTATATATAACAGAGGAAAAGTGTAGCAATCGGTCAAAAAATGACCCCTCTTAAATTTTTACATTTTTGGACTCAGGACACCTTGAAATGTCGAGATATGCAAAAAATTCGGTTTTTTTTCCCTGTATGTATGAATGTTATACTGTGTGGGGGGGCACGATTTTGTTCATCCTGTTTGAAGCCTAATAACTTCTGTGGTTTTTAAATCAGAGACAGATGATTTAACAAGGAGTTATTAAACTTAAAAGTGGTTGAATTAAATCGTGTCCATATACACTTTCTAACATCTCAGGCGAAAACATCTTAGCGGGTTTCACTGTACTATTATAAAATGACGAAAAGCTTGATTTTGAGAGTAAGAGACGAGTTTTATAAAAAATGGAGATATGACACATGACTCCTATGTCTCCATCCTGTCTATTTTTAATTAAAAATCAAAATTTAATAGCATTAATACACAAGCTACTGTGCCAAATCTAGTTTCTTAAACTTTACCCATTTTGAGATATTGTTTAATATCTCAGAACAGAGAACAAAGAAATTAAACAAATTAGACGCCAACACATACACACGCGCACACACGCACGCACATACAAATGTCCTCCCCCTCTTTATTTGACAATTTTTGATTCTAGAGAATCCAAAAAATGTCTCCAAACGTGTAGAAATTTTAGATTTGCAAAAATCTCGGAGTATAAAATTTGACACGATTCCAATACAGTACTTTTCAATTGTTATACTGTATACATGTACATAACAAGTTGGGAAGTAAAAAGGAGTCGGAGTCAGCGGATTTTTGACGACTTCCGATTCCGATTAAAACTCCACTACTCCGACAGACTCCACAGCCCTGTTTACAACAGATTAATCTGTGGTTTTACTCTTCGGATCGGGTGAAAAAGCTGACTTTGCACATGCGTTATGGCGTGGAAGAAATTGACCTTAATGCTCACTCAGGATCTAGGCAATGTTGCCAAGTTAGGGTTTTTTACCCTAGATTTAGGAATTACTTTGGAGTCTATAAAAGAATTTATAGAGAAGATTTTTTTAGGGAAAAATTTAGGATGATTTTTTTACTATAGAGAATTTTTAGGGATTACATTTAAAACTTAAAATTTTGCATTTACTTTGAGAATTTTTTTATTTTATCACTGCTGGTGTTGTCTTCACTTGAAATGGGGTCAACCAGCACTTTAGACTAATTACCTAGCTTCATTAGGTAATTACTGTAGTATATGCCAGCACCCAGCAATAACACCTGTGATTTTACAAACTTTTTAAAGCTAGAGTACTTATATTATAGGTACTCTAGCTTAAATATTTCTTGTAGTTTTAACAATTTAACATCAAAGATCACTAAAGCTAGAGTACAGTAGAGCATCGATTATCCGACTCAATTGGGGACTCAGGTTGGTCGGATAACTGAAAAGAAGGAAAAAAAATACATTACTAGTATAGTACAGTGGTGCCTCGTATAACGTACGCCTCGAATAACGGACNGGGGAAGTTGACCTATCCAGATGATTGTGTAAATATGACGGAGTCATGTGCTGCGAGGCTTATAAGGAAGGAGATTGAAGCTATGTGGAATTTAAGATGGGTTAGTGATACGAAGGGCAGACAAACTGCTATGTTTTTACCGACTATTCTTGAGAGAAAACGGACACGGTGGGTCAAACCTGATTACTATATTTGTCAAGTTCTTTCAAGACATGGGGATTTTCAGTCTAAATTATTTTCTTTTAGATTAGTAGATACAGATACATGTGAGTGCGGAGAGCAGGATACATTAGGCCACTTTCTTTTTGAATGTCCTCTTTTATCAAGTATAAGATTGCGAAGTAAGTATTTAACTAGTTCTTTTAATAATGAACATTATATAAGGCGTTTTGTACAGTTTGAACATATATATTTTAATGTTTTTAAGATTTTAAGGTTAATGTTTATTGAGCGGGGTCGTTTACGTCAGATTAATTTGTTTTGAGGATTAGGAATATTTAAACTTATTGTCCAGGATTGTATTATTATTTTATTTATTAAATTGTTGAATAGTATAGCTTTTAGTTGTTTTATTGTAGGACTATATTGCTGATAAGTCTTTTTAGACAGGTGCATCAAAGATATTGGACATTCGGGACACTTGTCTATACTACAAATAAACTTCTAGAACAGAAGATCTACAACAATATACGATATATATTAGTCTTATGAAGGACAAAATAAGGATGGAAGAACAAGCGGGGGTGTACACTATCCCATATGAAAACCAATAAATAGGAGTCGATAAAGAATAGGTAGGGGTGACCAGAAGAAACCTTGCAGTACGTGTAAAAGAGCACAAATACAGTGTTAATAAAAGACNTTATGGTACAGTACGGTTATTTTATGCTGCGGAACGAATTATATGTTTTAACATGTATTTCTATGGGAAAATGCGTTTCGTATAACGGACGTTTCACTTAACGGACGTGCACCTGGAACGGATTAAGTACGTTGTACGAGGCACCACTGTATATTAGAATATTAGTATATCCCATGTAATTAGTTTACAGTAAACCCCCTATAACACGGGTTCCTATAATTACGATTCCTATAAGACGGCGAAAAAATTGCAACAGTATCCGTACAAACCTGGTAAAAATCTCCTATAATTCGGTAAAACGTCATCGGGCAGCCGAACTACTTTCCGCCGTCCAGCGCCACGCTACGGAGAATTTAGGCGGGTAAATTGAGTTTACTATCGTCTGTACAGTATTATATATAAATTAGGTACTGTATATATAATTATATATTAACTTAATTTATTGTAACTTTATTATAATTATATATATATACTTTCCGCTGTCCAGCGCTACACTACGGAGAGTTTAGGCGAGTAAGTTGTTTACTATCGTTTGTACAGTATGTAAATTAGGTACCATAAGTCTAATACAGTACTGTAATTTTATACATTTCTTGTGAAAGAAACATTTCTTATTCAACGGCCATAAAAATTATTTATATTAATGATGTCTCCAAAGTTCAACG